TTTCCAGTACAGGTAAAAGCTAGGAGAGCCCCTTTTAAGAAAAGGAAAAGTAAGGTTGAAAATAAGACTAATTTTCTTTCAAGTTGTCTTTTATCTATTTCAGTTCTCCAGTCAGCTGCTGCTCCTGAGAAAAGGGACCTGTCAGTTGCAGAGAAGGTTGAATCCTTTGTCGAACGTCTGGAAGGTAGAATTTCTTCCATATTATTTCTATTTGATTATTAGGCCACGGATTCGCCCGCTTCATTTTTTTCTGATTTGCAAATAAAAATAAAAATTCAGAATCAACTGCAAAATGCTCATACATGTATTTTGCCCTGAACAGTTGAAAATAGTCCTTTTCTTCCTAGTTGTTACAGTTATTCCATCTTTCAATGGAGTGGTATCATTAAAAGTTAAAAATTCATTGTTTAAATTTTGAACCAGCCTGGTGTGTTGACTTCATGGCTCCTATCGTACCATTTTGGGCCATGATAGGATGCCTAGGCCTGTTTTTATTTTTATTTTGTTCGCCCGCCCGCTCCATTATTTTTCTAGAAAAATCTGTTAACCAAGAAATTAAATTGGTGTGGCCTTATGATACTTAATCTGATTGTTTGACTCTTTGATTTCTGTCCATCTTTGCAAGGACATTATATACATGTCCGTGATATAGGAAAGGCATGAAGGTCAACAATCATTAATCTTTGTAAGCAGAACAACTCAAATAGATTTTAAAACATCTGATCTGACTGAAAAAAGGTTCAACTTGATACAAATTTGGACTAGCGGGCTCTTAGTGATGATAATAAGAACTTTAAGAAGAAAGGTTTTTGTCAAAATTGATCTTACAGAATTGATTGACAGCCAAGATGACGAAGATAAAGACAACACCATGGATATGATGGAAAAGGTATAAAAGATTGGTTTGGGTGGCTATTGGGACATGTGGCGTAATTGTGACTGCTGTAATATAGCCTGGTGTGTAGTCGAAGCCTATCGTGGTGTGGGCGCGGGGCTGTCTTCAGGGCTGTAGAATTTCCCTGCCATCATGGTTCAAAAATTTTAAGGGCACTCTGTAGGATATTACACCTGGTCAGAGTTTTCAGTGCACTGTAGGAGTGATTTAGCCCACCACAATATCACACACACACACACACACACACACACACACACACACACACACACACACACACACACACACACACACATACACACACACACACACACAGATACAAACAAGTAGATACAGGGAGACACAAAGTTAATACACAGTGACAATGACATTGTACAGTGGCATCATTTGATTGTTCGACTGCATTGTAAAGGTCTAGATCCTCAGGGAGACTCGGGTTCATGGAATCCAATGTAGATAACCTGTTCTTATACTTAATTCTCATTCTTAATAATTGTCCACAAGAACGGCATCCAGACTGAAGAAATTGGTGATGATTCCTGGCTTCCCCAAACACGACAAGCTGGTGAGTTACAACCTGCTGTACTTCACCTTTTTCTAATGCCCACCAAAACTGACATCCTTATGATGACTACTTTGCAAGCAACACCCTTTAGAAAATCTGAGAAATCTAAACCACTTGATCTTTATTTTCCCCTCAGGCTGCTCCAGTGGATACCAGATGCGTGCCGGTATCTGCTACAAGGCCTTCAACACGCCAAAGAACTTTCACGATGCGTCTTCGACATGTGTGGCTGATGGAGGGACCCTCGCTATGCCGAAGGATGCCGGCACCAATGCCTTCCTCCTCTACCTGAAAAACGCTGTGCACAGGGCTGGCTTCTTCTGGTTTGGCTTGGTGGATCATCACCAGGAGGGAGGCTGGGAGTGGATAGACGGGACACCCCTACGCTACAGGGCATGGGGCCCGGGAGAACCGAACAACGCCGGTAACGAGGATTGCGCTGAGTACTTCCCTGCGGCATGGAACGATGCGCCGTGTTCTAGGACTGACAGAAAATTCATCTGCCAGAAAGTCCTCGCAGGTGTGCTGTATTTAGGTTAATTTCAGCCTTCACGGTCATAAGATTCAAAGATCGTAAAAACTTTTTTATTCACTCATTCCTTTTTATGCCAAAATGTCCTTAGCCTACAGATGGTATTAAGAACAAGTGCAGTTCAACTGATTTCCCTATTTGTTCTGAAATAGGTTGCCCAAGTGGGTATGTTTACCATTACCTTCCTCGTCTGTGCTACAAGGCCTTCAACGAGAAGAGAACATACGACGGTGCTGTCGCGAAGTGTTCTGCAGACGGGGGAACCCTGGCCATGCCCCGCGGCCCCATCATCAACAAGTTCCTTATCTACCTGAAGAATGCCGTGGACAAAACCGGTTGGTTCCGTTTCGGACTGACTGATCGCCGCCAGGAGGGAGACTGGAGGTGGGCCAATAACCTTCCTCTGAGCGGCTTCAGGGCATGGGCTCCAGGACAACCCAACAACTGGAATAACCAAGACTGTGCCGAGTACTTTCCCGAAAGCAGCGCCAAGTTCAACAGTGTCAAGAACAGATGGGGCGATGGACCATGTACCACTGCTGACAGGAAGTTCATCTGTCAAGTCTCGCCAGGTTAGAATGCATTACTTTTGTCCAGTTTGCCATCTTGAAGGATCATTGGAAGTGTGTAACTTGAGTGTGAAATTTGCAATAAAAGTATCATAAAACTATTATCTTGTGGAGGAAATCTTCTTAGTTCCTCTGTCTAAATGTGGCATGAATGTGGCACCTAGAATGTGGCAGGCGCACGTTCAGTTACAGAGGAGCTAGTAGCTGGAATGAGATTCCACACAGTATAAAATCAACATCTACTTTTTCCTCTTTCAAGAGCATGTTGAAAACCTGGGCTGACCTCTGACCTCATCTGACCTAATGACAAACGGACCGGTATATGGACTATGAGTATGGATACTGGCTTTGTATTTGATGATGTTTTGTCCTGTTGTTACTTCTGTATGTTTTACATTGTTTTGTTCCTTGTACATTATGTGTGTTGTATGTACTATGTGTCCAGGGCCCCGCTGTAAAGCAGTGCAGTAGCCACTGAGAGGGTCACCCTGGTAAAAGAAAACAGAATTAAAAAAAAGATTAAGATGACATCATGTTGCAATCTTCTCCCCTAGGAGAGCGCGGCCTGCTGAAGTCCATACCTGGGGCAAATCTACGTTCTTGGATATGCGGAGACTATCCGGAACCGTGCCTGATCCTACTGACCCTAGCTCTAACCTATTCAGGTGTACATGTAGAACTACACAAATGTACATAGGCACGGTTCTGGATACGATAGGGTTAGTAAGCATCATTGACCATAGATCTTCCTTGTTACAGAGCCACCCGTGGTACAAGTGACATGTCGGGCGGGCTACCAACCTTTCCAGCAAAACTGCTTCAAGGCATATATAAACATACAAACGATCATATCCCCCAAACAAAAACGTCTGACGAAGACATGAGACCCCTGAGCTCTAGTTACCTCCATGAAAAATGGAGGTATTGTTTTTGGCGTGTCTGTCTGTATGTATGTATGTATGTATGTGTGTGTGTCTGTGTGTCTGTCTGTCTGTCTGTCTGTCTGTGTTTCCGCAACTTTGTGGTCAGCATAACTTCAGAACGCCTTTATGGATTATGATGATATTTTGTTTGTTGGTTAGTCTTAGGAAGACAAAGGTCAAGGTCAAATATGGGCCTCCTGGTGGATGACCTTGGTACTGCAGCAGAACTTCCGGTTTTTGTATCTTTTGTCCTGAACATGCTATGGTCTTGATGTTTTGGTGACAGATTGCTTTTCCTGTCAAGAATAAGTGGTGTGAGTTTGGTCCCCCTAGCAGCTTGTTTTGGAACTGCAGGGCACTTTCTGGCGAAATGTTTAAAAGCCAATAAGTCCAGATAGGAACAACATATTTTCATAATTTTTGGTGTGTAGGTAGCTGAGAGAGAGATGTACATGATTAAATGCAAATTATGCAAATGAGGACTTCATTTGCATAATCAATGAGGAAATTCTATGATTACAGTGTTTTACATTATACTACTTTCATACATGTAATGTATGTAACCTATGGAAGGCAGAACATCAACAGATACTAATTATGCAATTGATGACCTAATTTGCATAATTTATGCAAAAATTCTATGATTTCTTAATGGTGAATAATGGGAATGTCATACTTTGGACATCTGTAAGTTAATCAAAAGTTAACATACATCACGATGCATATATCATGTTAATGCGGAGGTAATTTGCATAATTAAAGAGGAAATTTACATTTACATATCAAGCCCATATTTCATGGAGGTATGAAGTCTCGGAATTCTTGTTAGATTTAGAGCGCGCGTCTTTTCCAATCTGTCAGTACGTAGTTGTGGCTGTTGGTATGGTCCTGCGTCAAAGGAGCACCGTGTAAGCTTCTACATGTTCCCACAAGAGGCTACACAGGTGGGTTGGTCAGCATAAGGAACAATCTTGTAACTGAACTAACGGAGAAAAATCCGGAAGATGTTCAGACCATTTCTAGCCTGGATGCGAAGATTAGATCTGCGTGTTGGTATAGTTTTAGGAACAGGAACGGAACAGTTGCCCTCCTCATGCCTTTGACTCAAATTCTTATTTTTCAGGCTCGAAGTGCCATTTTCCATTTACGTACAAAGGAAAAACCTACAATTCCTGTACCAGAGTCGACCATAGCCGTCCCTGGTGTTCTTTAACTGCGGTCTACCAGGGCAAATGGAAAAACTGTGCCGGTAAGTTCATGCGTCAGGCAGGTCATTCCCTAAATTGTAAGGCCAGACCAAGTAATTTTTATGTATGACGTCCACTGGGTTATTGCAAAAGCGCGATAAAATACATGAAGGGCAAAAATGATTAAGATGCATAGATTTGGAACATACTAACTGTGGAAATACAAAGTTTATGACGCAAACTGAATAAAAGAACGCAAACAGCAATAAATCTCCCCCTTTTCTGATTCTTTCCTTTCATCACATCTTCTCATTACATTTTGCGACACTGTCATAGAATAAAAAAATGGAAAAAAAGTAGTACAGAGATTCTTTTGTACTCTAGACCAAGTTGATTTCTAGTATTAAAACAATGTTCCTTTATCTAGAACAATGTCCCTCTGACGAAGGCATGAGATCTTTGACCTCTAGTTGACCATGGATCTTCCTTGTTACAGAACCACCCGTGTTACCACCCGTGGTTACGTGTCGGGCGGGCTACCAACCTTTTCGGCAAAACTGCTTCAAGGCCTTTGACCAAATCAAACCTGACTACACCTGGGCCATGAAGGCCTGCATGGCAGAAGGCGGTAGGCTGGCCATGCCAAAAGACGCCGCCACTAACGCGTTCCTGGTCCGGCTGAAGAATGCAGTACGAAACAGCGCCGCTTTCTACATCGGACTGAGTGATCAAAACGCCGAAGGACAATGGCGCTTTGCTGACGGAACTGCAATAGGTACTTCCAGTAATCAGTTGTTTTAATCAAATTTTTTTTGCAAATCAGAAAAAAAATGAAGAGGCGAATCCGCGAACCAACAAATTAAATTGGTGTGGCCTAAGGATACTTATCAATAATAAAGATCGTCGGCAGCTTTTATGTCAAAATGCAAACGATGCGATGGGACCGTACTCTATATGTCCTATCAAGACACCACCAACATGAAGGGGATTGCATGAGAAGATATTTCACTTAATACTTAACACTTCCCATTCTTCCCACAGGTTCCTACAACAACTGGAACCCCGGAGAACCAAATAATGCAGGGAATGAGGACTGCGCCACTTTGCTGCCGGGATATGGAGGCAAGTGGAACGACTTGCCTTGCTCCAGCGATCAACGGTACATCTGCCAAGTTCCACCAATCCACCGGCCTCGTAAGTTCCTCCAACTGTAAGGTTTATTCTCTCCAGAACTGTGCCTATCTAGTTCTTATTTTGTTGTATGCAAATGGCAGGAAATCTCAGAGCTGGCGCTTCGTTTATGTTACTCACCAATTTGGTTTTCATTTTTTTCATGTTTTGCCAGGACCTAATGTCCTAGAGCGTTAGTGGACACATGTTAATGTGTATGTGTTGGTGAAAGTTTTACGAAAGGGTTAGTAAGCATCATTGACCATGGATCTTCCTTGTTACAGAACCACCCGTGGTACCACCCGTGGTACAAGTTACATGTCGGGCGGGCTACCAACGTTTCCAGCAAAACTGCTTCAAGGCCTTTGACCAAATAAAACCTGACTACACCTGGGCCATGAAGGCCTGCATGGCAGAAGGCGGTAGGCTGGCCATGCCGAAAGACGCCGCCACTAACGCGTTCCTGGTCCGGCTGAAGAATGCGGTACGAAACAGCGCCTCTTTCTACATCGGACTGAGTGATCAAAACGCCGAAGGACAATGGCGCTTTGCTGACGGAACTGCAATAGGTACTTCCAGTAGTAATCAGTTGTTTTGCTGGTCTCTCATATCATCCTTCTAGCGACAGCTCTGTAGGGTTTAACAGTAAAACCTTACCACGATCATATGCTAACGCCACACAAATTTAATTTCTTGGTTCTCAGATTTTTTAAGAAAAAATATGAAGCGACAGGGCGAAAAAAAAAATAACAACAGGTCTAGGCTGCCTATTATAGGCTTAAATGCTAGGAAATGAGCCATGAAGTCAACACAAAAGGCTGGGTCAAAATTTAAACAATGAATTTTGAACTTTTAATCAAACCACTGCAGTGATAGATGGGAAAACTGTAACAACTAGGAAGAAAAGGACTTTCCTCAACTGTTGGGGGGCAAAACATGAGCATTTTTCAGTTGATTCAGAACCATAATCAAATTGTTTTTTGCAAATCAGGAAAAAATTAAGAGGCGAATCCGCGAACCAACAAATTAAATTGGTGTGGCTTAATATCAATAATTAAGATCGTCGTTAGCTTTTATGTCAAAATGTAAACGATGCGATGGGACCGTACTCTATATGTCCTATCAAGACACCACCAACATGAAGGGGATTGCATGAGAAGATATTTCACTTAATACTTAACACTTCCCATTCTTCCCACAGGTTCCTACAACAACTGGAACCCCGGAGAACCAAATAATGCAGGGAATGAGGACTGCGCCACTTTGCTGCCGGGATATGGAGGCAAGTGGAACGACTTGCCTTGCTCCAGCGATCAACGGTACATCTGCCAAGTTCCACCAATCCACCGGCCTCGTAAGTTCCTGCAATTGTAAGGTTTATTCTCTCCAGAACTGTGCCTATCTAGTTCTTATTTTGTTGTATGCAAATGGCAGGAAATCTCAGAGCTGGCGCTTCGTTTATGTTACTCACCAATTTGGTTTTCATTTTTTTCATGTTTTGCCAGGACCTAATGTCCTAGAGCGTTAGTGGACACATGTTAATGTGCATGTGTTGGTGAATGTTTGACTTACGAAAGGGTTAGTAAGCATCATTGACCATGGATCTTCCTTGTTACAGAACCACCCGTGGTACCACCCGTGGTACAAGTTACGTGTCGGGCGGGCTACCAACGTTTCCAGCAAAACTGCTTCAAGGCCTTTGACCAAACAAAACCTGACTACACCTGGGCCATGAAGGCCTGCATGGCAGAAGGCGGTAGGCTGGCCATGCCGAAAGACGCCGCCACTAACGCGTTCCTGGTCCGGCTGAAGAATGCGGTACGAAACAGCGTCGCTTTCTACATCGGACTGAGTGATCAAAACGCCGAAGGACAATGGCGCTTTGCTGACGGAACTGCAATAGGTACTTCCAGTAATCAGTTGTTTTGCTGGTCTCTCATGTCATCCTTTTAGCGACAGCTCTGTAGGGTTTAACAGTAAAACCTTACCACAATCACATGCTAAGGATACTTAATAATATCCATAATTATCAATAATATCAATAATTATCAATTAATATCAATAATAATAAAGATCGCCGTCAGCTTTTATGTCAAAATGTAAACGATGCGATGGGACCGTACTCTATATGTCCTATCAAGACACCACCAACATGAAGGGGATTGCATGAGAAGATATTTCACTTAATACTTAACACTTCCCATTCTTCCCACAGGTTCCTACAACAACTGGAACCCCGGAGAACCAAATAATGCAGGGAATGAGGACTGCGCTACTTTGCTGCCGGGATATGGAGGCAAGTGGAACGACTTGCCTTGCTCCAGCGATCAACGGTACATCTGCCAAGTTCCACCAATCCACCGGCCTCGTAAGTTCCTACAATTGTAAGGTTTATTCTCTCCAGAACCGTGCCTATCTAGTTCTTATTTTGTTGTATGCAAATGGCAGGAAATCTCAGAGCTGGCGCTTCGTTTATGTTGCTCACGAATTTGATTTTCATTTTTTTCATGTTTTGCCTAGACCTAATGTCCTAGAGCGTTAGTGGACACATGTTAATGTGTATGTGTTGGTGAACGTTTGACTTACGAAGGGTTAGTAAGCATCATTGACCCTGGATCTTCCTTGTTACAGAACCACCCGTGGTACCACCCGTGGTACAAGTTACGTGTCGGGCGGGCTACCAACGTTTCCAGCAAAACTGCTTCAAGGCCTTTGACCAAATAAAACCTGACTACACCTGGGCCATGAAGGCCTGCATGGCAGAAGGCGGTAGGCTGGCCATGCCGAAGGATGCCGGCACTCAAGCGTTCCTGAACCAGCTGAAGAATGCGGTACGAAACAACGCCGATTTCTACATCGGACTGAATGATCAAAACGCCGAAGGACAATGGCGCTTTGCTGACGGAACTGCATTAGGTACTTCCAGTAATCAGTTTTTTTTGCTGGTCTCTCATGTCATCACTTATGAAGGGGATTGCATGAGAAGATATTTCACTTACTTCTCTTAACACTTCCCGTTCTTTCCACAGGTTCCTACAACAACTGGAACCCCGGGGAACCAAATAATTCAGGGAATGAGGACTGCGTTGCTTTACTGCCGGGATATGGAAGCAAGTGGAACGATATACCTTGCAACCTCCATCTACGGTACATCTGCCAAGTTCCACCAATCCGGTCTGGTAAGTTTCTCCAACTTGTTTGCTTCTTGGTGTGGTTTATCGTGTCCTAAACTGTGCCTATATATTTTTATGTCCATAATGATAAAAGATCAATCTATCACTAAAACACTGCAGTAGAGCTATTACAGGGAACAAAGTATAAAACTGCATGCTCAGTTTGAAGATGTTGACTTGCTTTTCTTCTTAAAAGGCTCAGATACTTCACAACGTTCTTTGATTTGAAACGATTGTAACCCATTACAAAAATGAAAGGCCAGACTGTTTAGGAATGGACATATTTTGGGATAGTGCAGTCATCAGGACACAAATATCTATATCCTAAACTGGAACTGAAGCTCCTACCTGGCCAAAGGCAAAATATATCAGCACCGTTAATAATACAACTAAAAGCAATTAAATCTAAAATAAACATACAAATGATCATATCACACAAACAAAAACGTCTGACGAAGACATGAGACCTCTGAGCTCTAGTTAGATTTAGAGCGCGCCTCTTTTTCGATCTGTCAGTATGTAGTTATGGCTGTTGGTATGGTCCTGCTAATCTCCAAGCAGATCTTTTGGTGGGGGTACAAGACAGTATCAAATTGGCCAGTCTGTAACCATTACAGATTGGCCAATTTGATACTGTCTTACCCCCACCAATAGATCTGCTTGGAGATTATTGTCCTGAGTCAAAGGAGCGTCGCGTAAACTTTTACATGTTTCCATGAGAGGCTACACAGGTGGGTTGGTCAGCATGAGGAACAATCTTGTAAATGTCGGAGAAAATCCGGGAGATGGTAGGCAGGAAGAGCTTCCACTGTCGGGTGTGTTCAGACCATTTCTAGCCTGGATGCGAAGATTAGATCTGCGTGTTGGTATAGTTTTAGGAACAGGAACGGAACAGTTACCCTCCTCATGCCTTTGACTTAAATTCTTATTTTTCAGGCTCGGGGTGCCATTTTCCATTTACGTACAAAGGAAAAACCTACAATTCCTGTACCAGAGTCGACCATAGCCGTCCCTGGTGTTCTTTAACTGCGGTCTACCAGGGCAAATGGAAAAACTGTGCCGGTAAGTTCATGATCACGATGAAATGGTTTCGTCCCCGTCTACCATTTGCCTTTCTGGTTCTGTGTGGGACGTGGTCAGAACAACCTGTGCATGCTGCTTCTCTCCATGTAACTTCTTTTCATCCGCACTTAACTTACATGTTTTGTCCTACATGTACTGATGTATACACAGTCTGATAATCTATATAATGTTCCAGCAAAGAGGGAGATGCCTGACACAGGGGAGCCCGAACAACAGGAGCCTGACCCAGAGGAGCTTTACCCAGAGGAGCCCGAACCACAGGAGCCTGAACCAGAAGAGCCTGGCCCACAGGAGCCTGAGGTAGGAGAGGCAAACGAAGTCCTACAGAAGGACATGTTAGAGGAGGCTCTGGAGATGCTGGAGAATGAAGTCCGCGCTGAAGAAGAGAACTTGGACCCAGGAGAGCCTGACCCAGAGGAGCCCGAACCACAGGAGCCCGAACCACAGGAGCCTGACATAGGGGAGCCCGAACAACAGGAGCCTGAACAAGAGGAGCTTTACCCAGAGGAGCCCGAACCACAGGAGCCTGAACCAGAGGAGCCTGAGCCTGGAGAGGCAAACGAAGTCCGAGAGGAGGACATGTTGGAGAAGGCTCTGGAGATGCTCGAGAGTGAAGTCCGCGCTGAAGAAGAGAACTTGGACCCAGGAGAGCCTGACCCAGAGGAGCCCGAACCACAGGAGCCCGAACCACAGGAGCCTGAACCACAGGAGCCTGAACCAGAAGAGCCTGGCCCACAGGAGCCTGAGGTAGGAGAGGCAAACGAAGTCCGAGAGGAGGACATGTTGGAGAAGGCTCTGGAGATGCTGGAGAATGAAGTCCGCGCTGAAGAAGAGAACTTGGAGGTAAGATGATTCAATCCTTCTATAGGTAAAGGAATCTGTTATACTGTGAAGTTCACAGAAGAGCTCCTCTCTTTAGTATGCAAATGTTTGAATTCCACAAGAAAGGAGCATAAGAAAACCAAGTGCATAATTGAAAAACAAGTAACAGTTAGGTGTAACAATGAAATGTACAGACACACACACACATGCACACACACACACACACACACACACACACACACATACACACACACAGGCAGACAGACAGACAGACAGAGACACATGAAAATAAAGTCACATAGACAAACATGACTCAATGCACAGTCACACACAGCACAATCACAAACACACATACACAAATCCATCATCGTACATCTATGGAGATCTGTCACAATGTTGGGAAGGTGTTAACAACAAATTCAGACTGTATGTTTTCTTGTCCCTTGCAGTACGGCCTGGAAGAGTGACACCTACATGACCTTCTGCTGTTCCAGCTCAACAGACGTGAACTGTGCAGCAGCAGCTGTGATGCTGTCATCTCCAAGCAGATGTTGGGAGGAACCGTTGTAACTTTTCCTGACTAGCCCGGGAGAGACAGAAAATGTTACAATCTTCCTCCCAACATCTGCTTCAGTTTTAAGATTTAATTTTTTAAATAGATACTGGTCATTAAATGACAGATTAAGCTCAGATAGCTACAGGCAAATATCTATCCTAGCACAATCTATAACATCTACTCTGATAATACTGCCACTAACCATAACTGTGCCACCAAATTAAAAAAAAACACCAATGAATTTGAAGAGATGTCCAGCAGCATAATTTAGTAATTTCTGAGCTATGTACACTTCAAATAACCTCGGCAAGACAAGTCTCTTCTTGGGGCTTTATGAGCAGAGCACACTCATTCTTAGACATTTTGGAAGTGTCTCAAATTGCAAACTTCTGTTATTAGCAGGACGAGAGTTAGTAAAAAAAACAGACAGCAAAAGTGTCAAAAAGAATCCAGAACAGCAACTGGGAAAAATAAACATTAAATTTTTTGTTGAATTCATCATTTGAGAAATTGCCATACACATGGTGGTATTATGAGAGTATGTTTGTAGTGTTTCTTCCCATATATAAAAAAAAGATATACCTTGCACTTATGAAAACCCATTATATCTACTTGATTTTCAGTGGTTAATATAGACAAACATACAAGTCTGTTAGTGCTTTTGTAGAGGCTGAATACTTACGCTCCTATTCAGTGCTAACGTAGGTAATATCATAAATCATTACTAATTCCTTGAGCTTGTTGTAGAAGTAAATGTTAGTTTTTCAGTACTTTAAGCACTTACTCTGACTTAAACTCTGTAACACCAAGTTGTTTTCCTTATCCATAGAATTTCAATATCCTTACAAGACAGTATAATTCCTACAAGCTAGATGTAACCTGATTGTAGTTCTCATGTAGAAATACATCACAAAGAGCTTATTAGTCATTATGAGGTGATTAACACGTGATCATCATCAACATGTGATAGCATAAAGTAGCCTGCATGTCATCTAAAATGCACTTCATGCAATGCCATGTAACCGAGATTTGGTTTTTGCAGAGCCCTGCATAGTGGGCAGACTATAGAGGGTCTGATGTTTTTTTTCCGTGGTGTGTAGCGAGTCATTTCAATTTACTAGTACCATTTATCGTAGCCAGCCACTTTAATTCAACCTTTGAACATTCAGCATTGTTGCAAAATTATCAGTGATGCATAATTGGTTACTTTAATTCCTTGTAGCACGTTGTTATCCTGAATTCATCGTCAAGCAATCGTATGGTGTAGTTGATTGCCAGATTGCCCAAAAATTCTAATAGTGTCTGCAGACTAGTTTTGTCAGGCACTCCATGAATGCAAAAGAAATCAGGTATTTACAAAGCCTTTACACAAGAACAAGTAAATCAGCCATCGAGTGTTGCTAGGCTTCCTAAATACCATTAAGTATTTTCAACCCTCCAAAATTCACTGTTAATGCCCCCATGCAGACCCTCATTATAAGGCATAGCGGTAAACTATGGTAGCCAAGCTGCATTAGGAAAGGGACAAAGGAATAATTGTTTACTCTATATTCAAGATACATTGTACTTTAAGAACAGTGAATGCTCGAAAGATACGGCTGTGTTGAGAAGAAGTTGATCATGAAAAACATTGAAGACAAACAAAAAGACAAGATACAACTGATCACTTTTGAAACTAAATTTCCCCTGGATATGCCACCTTTGTACAAGGGAAAATTTAGGATATAGAATTTTCTTCTTACACAACCATAGAGTTTCTCACCTGCTTACGTTTCGATGTCTATCAGACACCTTCCTCAGAGCTTCTGACTGGAGTTCTGCAACTCGCCGCTATTTAACGCCAATGTAGCTGGCGCTTTTGCGGATAAGGAAGTCAACCCCAGTGATGAACCGGGACGAGGGGGGATACAAGCTCAGCCACGTTTGGGATTGCATTCTCGCCGCAAAAGAGCCACCTACATTGGCGTTAAATAGCGACGAGTTGCAGAACTCCAGTCAGAAGCTCTGAGGAAGGTGTCTGATAGACGTAAGCAGGTGAGAAACTCTATGGTTGTGTAAGAAGAAAATTCTATCCTAAGTATCTTCCAACCTGATGAAATTATTTACGGGAAGGGAAAATTTAGTTCTTGCAAAATGCCCATCAACATT